GGCCTTGTTGAATCTCATACGGTTGGCCTTAGCCCATCGATCCGTCCTGTCCAGGTCCCTCTGCAGAACCTTCCTACCCTCGAGCAGATCAACACTCCCGCCCAACTTGGTGTCGTCTGCAAACTTACTGAGGGAGCACTCAATCCCCTCATCCAGATCATTGATAAAGATATTGAACAAGACCAGCCCCAAAACTGTGCCCTGGGGAACACCGCTCGTGACCCGCCACCAACTGGATTTAACTCCGTTCACCACAACTCTCTGGGCTCGGCCGTCCAGCCAGTTTTTTACCCAGCGAAGAGTGTACCTGTCTAAGCCGTGAGCCGCCAGCTTCTCTAGGAGAATGCTGTAGGAGACAGTGTCAAAGGCTTTACTAAAGTCCAGGTAGACTTATATCAGTCCGCTATGTTACGACTGTTTTCTTTCACTAGATTGTCCTTTTTTGGGAATGTTGTTAGGAGCTGAATAGGTATGAAAACTCTCTCTGCATCCTTGATGAATTATGTACTCTGTATTGTGTACTCAACTGGTCTTGACCACGTATCATGGTTTCTCTGAAGTAATGTGCTTTCTGTCCTTAAATAAACAGAGCTGTCATCATAATGACTGATTTACAGCTTTCCAAACCAAATAGGGGTTGATAACACTCTTTGAATTTCTCTTGTTGATTTTCTAAACATGTTTTATGAAATGGACACCTTCAAATAAAACTGGATTCTTTGTCTTTACATTTTTACTTTTTCTTGAATTGTTCCATGTGGAATAATGAAATATTTATTTGATGTTACAGATAATTCTTAAACATATGTGTTAATGTTTCATGGCTTTTCACAGAGAACAGTGAGTAAGGTCTTAGATTTGCATTTTGAAGTTTCTGATTTGTTGAGAAGCAAAGTGTATTGGGTAGGAGACAATTAGAGCTCTTTCCTAAGAGAAAGTGATCAGTTGTGCTTGCTGTTGTATTTTCGTCATTCCTGGTATTGATTTCTGCTCTCCTCTACCACTGAGGCTCTGAGATAATGAGATGTTATCTGTTAGTTAATGCTTACTGGCTGCTCGATCACTTGGCCTTTATGCCATACATGATTTCACACCTATCCAAATCTTAATTTGTAGTAATCTTTGTGACCAGAATTCTGCTGTAATAGGAAGTTTCTTTGCCATTGTAGCCTTGAGTAATTGACTGTGTCTGTTCTCCTTATGGTTAGAAGCCTTATTGGTGAGCTCTTGTATGAGGACATTTGGCCACCTTGTTGTCCAATATAATAGTTATTCTGTATTCCTGATTTTCTTTCCAGTGTGCTTGTTCATTTGCTATTTTTGATTTTTAGAATTGTAAACTCTCTGAAGAAGGAGCTTTCATTTATAATTAATTTGTACAGCATCTTGCACAATGGGGCCCAACCTACTGTGGCTTTTAGGCTCTATTAGAGAACAAGTCTTAAAAGGAGCGGCTGAGGGAACTGGGGCTGTTTAGCCTGGAGAAGAGGAGGCTGAGGGGAGACCTCATCGCGCTCTACAACTACCTGAAAGGAGGTTGTAGCGAGGTGGGGGTTGGTCTCTTCTCCCAAGTAACCAGTGATAGGACGAGAGGAAATGGCCTCAAGTTGCGCCCAGGGAGGTTTAGATTGGACATTAGGAAAAATTTCTTTACTGAAAGAGTGGTCAGGCCTTGGAACAGGCTGCCCAGGGAAGTGGTAGAGTCACCATCCTTGAAAGTATTTAAAAGACGTGTAGATGAGGCGCTTAGGGACATGGTTTAGTGGGCATGGTGGTGTTGGGTTGATGGTTGGACTTGATGATCTTAGAGGTCTTTTCCAACCTTAATCATTCTATGATTCTATGATTCTATTGCAAGCTAGCAATATGAAAATTTAAATCATGTTAAAAGAAATAACATTGAAAATTAAATCTAGAATTGCATTTGTAGGGCATATCCTGAAGTTAAAGAAAACCCTCAATTACAGTGGTCAGTATAAATGTTGACCAGTAAATCTTTTTTCATTCTTTATGAACAAAGACTGCTCCTAAGCAGTCAGAGATCAGAGTTATTTAAGTCTGTTCGTTGTATGTTCTGGCTCAGAACAATCCAGATACAATCTCAATCAGCTAAACCAAAAACACGTAATACAAAACAGATATTTGCTGACCGTGTGTGGCACAAAAGCAAAAAATTATTTAAAATTATTAAAAATTAATCTGTGGAGATTTGGACCATTCCAGTTGTCTTCATATGTAGCTAGTCCAGAGCGGATGAAAGAGTTGAAAATGTTTCCTGGCTTCATAATAGGTGAATTCATTGTGAACTGAACTTAGATATGTTGCTTTTCATTCTGCCAGCACTATTTTTGTGCCATGCTTCTGGAGGATAAATACTTCGTGTATCTGGAAATTAATTTTAAATGAAAGATGATATCATCCATTACAAAAAATTACTTCAAATATTCCTTTTGGAGTATTCAATAGCTTTTGTTTTATGACAGTCCTTCATTTAAAGTTCATTATTTTAGTACTAACATGAATTAAAATCCTCTCTAGTTTGTATTTGTTGTCATTCTGGTCAAAATCCTATCAATAATTTTCAGTACCTTTCTTTAACTTTTCTTCGGCATTTGTAATGTATCTAGACTTTTTTTTTTAAAAAAAAAAAATGTTCATAAGCACTGATTTTTTTTAAGGCAAAGCCCAGAATACTGCTTTCATGAATACATGTCTCTGTAGAGACAGAAATATTGTTTATGTTATAAACACTGAAACTGAAAGACAGTGAGAATTAGATTTGAGAAATATATCTGTACAATTTTGTGCATGGTGTTTACTCAGTCCAGAAACATTTAGGCAATTAACATAACCTGACAGCTAAACAAGTTAATTATGAGTATTCTTAATTTCAGGGGGACTCCAAATGCTATAAATGTTTCCTGTTTAATCCAGGACTGGTTCTGTGCACTTCATCTTCAGGAGATTTTCTTCCGTATTCAGGAAATGATGTTCGCATTAATGACATTCACATTTGCATCACACATTATCTGCCTTCCTTGATTTTTCTTTGTCTCTAGCAGCTGGGATGCTTTTCAGGAGTGTTTTGCTGTAGAATTTTTTCTAAAAACTTGGCCTATCACTTGTTTGTCTGTGACATTTAAAGTTGTTTTTTCTTTTTTTTTTTAGTAGAAGGTATACAGAGTATTCTCTGTTTTGGTGGATGTAAAATAAAAGTATTTTAGCATGTATCCTAAGGAAATTATTATCGTAGCACTACTGTCTTCATTCATCTGCCCAGCTACTCTGTTACCCTCATCCTCCCTACCAAATGGACTTTAAACCTTTTTGGCATATTTGGCACCGCAAAATTGGATGAATGGATGGATAGAAGTCTCAAATATAAGTAATTTACTTTAAGTTTTACAAAAATGTCTGTGTGGGTAGAATAGATTTATCCTATTATTGTTCCCACTGTGGAGCATGAACTTACTATTAAACATGGTATTTCAAAACAGAGACCACAGCTAGGAAGGATGCAGTTGGAGCTTTTGTCTGTTAGGCTGTAGAGAATCTGTTGTTTTTAAAAATCTTATGCTTTCCCATCCTGTTCAGTTTGATTTCAGTAACATCTTGTGCATTAAAAAAAATACTTTCTGAAATTTGGAACAACCTGGAGTTCATCCATATTCAGTCAACTTCAGAAGTTTAGTTTGATTCAACTGGAAGTATCTCTCCAATATATGAAGGCATGAAAAAACTCTGTTTGACAGATGAGCTCATCAAGTTAAGGGAAGGTGAAAACCCAGCATCTTAATGAATAGAACAAAAGCACAGAGTTGCCATTGCATGACTGGTAATGTCAAGAGTCAGGCTTTCTGCTGAAGTCTATATTTGAATACCATGGTGGCAGTCTTAGGAATTCAGGTGAATAAGGAATTTATATATGTTAATATCCAATACCCTTATTGTATGATTTTTACTAACTAAATTAGTAATAAATAGTAGTGAAAATCGAGTGATCAGAACTCTCTATAAAAGGCTTTTTGACATTATGTTTAAATGAAACCTTTTCGAGAATGATTTTATCCCTCCTATTCTCTGTTGTATTTGAGGAGAGTTTTGAAGGGTGCAACATTACTGGTTTGTTAGCTATGTGTTCTAATTTTACCATGCAAGCATTTTGATTTGGTCACGGAAAATGGAAGTATCAGTATTGTAATAGCCAGTATTTAAAGAGTTAATTTCAAAGTGAACTCTGTACCATTCTGACACTACAGAACAGGGGTTTTCAATGTGCTCAGCAAGGAGAAATGAGATTTCATAGTAATACCTTCTCAGTAATAATTGCAAGTTACTTGTAAGTAGGATTTTTTCTGTGTTCTTGGAAGTGTTTTCTGAGGCAAATAAATCTTGGTAACATTAGGATGCCTGAAGGATTTGGTACCATGTTCTTTCGCTGTACACCCCTCTTTTGCCAGGACGATAGTTCCTTCTGATGATGCAAGCTCTAACTCGGCTCATTAACTTCCTTGTAGAAATTGGCGTGCCAGTAAGAGAAGAGGCAGCTACTGAGGAGGCTGAAATGGGGAACGCGCAGAGAAAGTTTCATAGCAAAGGAGGTGGCAGTAAGGCGGAGGACAGAGAGACACAGAAGCAGAAGGAATCCACTGAGAGCGGATTAAAAAAAGGCACATCAGAGGAAAACTCACAAAAGCATTTGTCAGACCATGAAGGTGAAGTTAATGGCTACTTACACAGTGATCAAAAGAGTGAAAGCCCTGCAGCTGAGATCAGATCGCATGGAGCAGGGTCGCAGACGGCTGGTGGTGGCAGTTCTACTTCACTTCCTCCTACTGCAGCAAAACTAAAAAGTGAAGGAAACGACTTATTTAAGAGTGGACAGTTTGGAGAAGCTGTGCTCAAATACTCGGAAGCAATTGAATATGTCATCGGTTTAGGTGAGTGTGACACCTTATACTTAAATCTAGGATTGTTTAGATTATTTAAAGGAACTACAAATGAACTAACCTAGCCTATCCCTGGAGGTTTTGGCAGGAGTTACTGTGCAGTAAATTCTTTGTCATTGTCAGTAGAGGATAATTCATGGGATACAAAATATAGGAAGATGAGCAAAATCATCTTGTAGCTTCCTTTGGGCAGAGCTGTTTGCTTTTATTTATGTGTTTGAATAATTACATATTCTAGGTGACATGATAAAGGAAAGCTCCTTGCAGCTTTGCATTGTCAGCAAACTGCATCACTGCAGTGCAACTTACAGCATGCAAGTCTCTAATTCTTGAATGTCATTTTAGTAATGGTCTTTGATTTTAATTGTAACTTCTTTTAGGAGAACAAAGTCCAGATGATTTAAGTATCTTGTACTCAAACAGAGCAGCGTGTCACCTCAAAGAAGGCAACTGCAGTGACTGCATTCAGGATTGTAACAGGTAAATTGCAACCTCCCATGCAGAGCAACAACATTCCTGATGATGATTAAACATTTTAACTGATATATTGTTATTGCAGTTTGAGTTAGAACAATCTTCAATAAAGTCTGATTTCCTGTCTAAATGACAAATATCTTTGTCAGTTACGTGAACAATCACATGGAACCTAGAGAAGGCGTAACTTTTAACTTACTGTCTTGCTGTGTGAGGGCAGTTGTTACGCTTCTTCTGTGTATACATGCACAGCAGGCTTAAAATTTTTAATATAAAAGCAGGCTTACTTCAATGATGCTCTGTAGTAACTTAAATGTAAAAGCTTTGTTAAGCCAGATGCTTATCACAGTGTTGGAAATTGCTTTCAAGCATGTGTATGGTGTATATGTGTGTGTTCTCTGTGTTTGGTTTGTTGTTTTTTGGGTTTTTTTAAATACATACTTGGCATAGTTATAAACAGTAATTACAGCTGTTAAGGAATTGAGCTAAAATCCTTTCTGCTTACTGTGGCTTTTAAAGATACAGGACTTAGAGAGGATCAGACACCTTCAATAACTTCCAACCATTGCCTTCCACTAAATTATTACTGTATTTCTAGATGTCTTTTTTAATATTTTCATAGATAGGGTTAGTAAGACTGAGGCTTAAGGTGCAAAAAAGGATCCCAAGACAGTTAGAAATCATATTGATTAATCAGTTGGGTTTTTTGCAGCACAACCCAACTGTTAAAAAAACCCCCAAAACTAAAAATAAAATATGCATGTAACTTTGTATTAACTAAATATTTGACTTACTGTATATATTCTACCTGACAGAAAAGTTTTCTGAAAATGTCATCTGAAAAAATTGACTTGCTAACAATATTTTGTTAGAACAGGTGCAGGACCATAGACAGCTGGCTGATAAAACAAGATGGCATGCTTAATAGCCATCACATTTTTTTGTTCAGGAGGTCTGAAGTATGTAAGACTTCAGCTGAAATCAGTAATATAAAGGTTTTGGGGTTTGTATTCTTAACAATTCGAAGCTCATTTTCTTACTACTTAATGATAGTGTCCTTAATGTTGTTTCTGGATACAGAAGGACCCGTGATGCTTAGCGAACACAAGGGAGGTAGAAATAATTTAGAGACTGGGAAGCAGAACTGCAAAACTGCAAGCACACATGAATTAGGCAATGTCAAATAAATCTTCTCTAGGCAACACAACATAAAGCATGATCTACAAATAGGTTACTTGATTTCAGAATAAAAAATGGTGTAGTGCTTATATTTGTGATACAAAAATAAGTATTGAACATTTACCTTCTATTAAGTTTTAGCTATTTAGGGCTTAGAAGTGTATCAAAAACCCTCTGTTGGATATCTGTTTGTCTCAAGACTCTGATTTGGAGTACCTTTGATTCTTGTTACAGAGAGTGAAATAGGGCTCCTATGCACTAGTGTTGTTTTATTTAGTGCTGTGATGTGGTTTGTTCCCTGGCTGTATTATCTTTGCATTCTGCCCTGGAAATGTAGTTTTCCATTCCCACTGATGCTATTCTTCAAGAAGTGTTGTCTCTCCCTGAATTTATTTATGGTTGGTTTTTTTCTTCATTCTTGATGTTAGGAACCTGAAATTGCTTTACTATTCTTCCAAGTTACAGAATGGCAAGCATTTTTGGAGAGGTTTTGCAGGGGCTATGATGCTGTGCACTGTTGTATTTTTCAAATGCATTCAGTGACATGAAGAGAAATGGAATGTTGGAAATATTTATGAAATGGAAACTGGAAAGGTTTATTCTAGAAATCATTGTTTCTCTAGCTTTAGGAGGAGTAATGGTGCAAAGCCAAGTTACAGCAAAGAAGGCCAACAGCCTCCTGGGCTTGTAAACAGGAGCACAGCCAGTGGATTGAGGGAAGTGATTATCCCCTTGCACTCAGCATTTGTTAGACAACATCTATGATAACTGTGTTGGTTTTCGGCTTCCCGAGTATGAGAAAGATAGCGATCAGCTGAAGTGTCACTGAGGTGGTTGTGAACTCTGGAGCACTTGCCTGGAGAGGCAGGCGGAGAGGAGCTGGGTTTGTTCAGCTTGGAGAAGAATGGCTTCCAGGGGTCCTAACAGCAGTCTGCCAGTATCTGTGAGGAGATTATCCAGAGGATGGATCCGGGCTCTTTCTAGCAGTACATTGTGGGAGGACAAGGGACAACAGAAGATTGAACCACACAAGGTTCAGACTGTGTATTAGGAGAAACCTTTTCCCCATGAACAGTGGGGGGCATTGCAAGAGGTTGCCCAGAGATGTTGTGCAGACATTCCCTTGGAGGTTTTCAAGGCCCAGCTGGATAAAGCCCTGAGCAACCTTGTCTGATCTCAGAGCTGACGTACCTGTAGCAGAAGGTTGGACTAGGGACCTCTCAGCCTGAATTACTTTATGATTCCATGAAATCTATTTGGCTAGACTGATCTTAATTTCAGTATTTCAAAGTTTATCTCTTTTTCTCTTTAGCAAGAATCATTGATTTATAAAAGGTAGTATTTAATAAATAAAGCCTTTGTGGACTGCTTCTTCATATTACCGGAAAATCGCATGGTGTTTGGAAGGAGTTCTGATTGCACAGTGTCAGGGGTTGAGCTCGGTGTTGACCAGGCACATAATCAGAAGAGTAAACAGACAAAATACAGGCAAAAACCTAAAAGCCAAAAAAAGACAGGTGTTTATTCATGTCTTAATAAATGTATTTTTTACGTGCATGCTTCCATGTGAGGAAGAAGAACTGAAAATGATGTAGGCAAAAGCATCATATACTTGAAATCCCCATAATCTAGGCATGACTTAAGAAAAATAGCTTTTGCTCTTGAACAGCTGCCATTACATTAATCTTTTCTTGGTGATGAAAGTAATTTTCCAGATGGAAGACAGTGATTTGAGTAGAGTAAGTTGTAGTAAAAGCACTAACAATTTCATAACTGCATGTCATTTAGGGTATTAGTATAAACCACTTAGTCCCATTTTCCTTGGTTGTGTTACTGTAAGGCCCATCTGACATCACAAAGTTGTTACGTATAGTTGTATATATCATAACATAGTTTTATTAATATTATTTCAGTTACTCTGTTTCAATCCTGCATTTTTCTTTTGTTTTCTCCAGAGCTCTGGAGCTTCAGCCATTTTCCCTTAAGCCACTTCTACGACGAGCAATGGCAAATGAGTCTATGGAGCGGTATCGACAGGCATACATTGATTATAAAACAGTCCTACAAATAGACAGCAGCATCCAAGCAGCAAATGATAGTGCTAATAGGTAACTGCACTTACAAATTTTCTACTCATATCAGTCCAAATAGAAAAATAGAAGTTTGCTTTATGTGTTCCCTCTGTTCTGCATCCCTCAGAGGCAGGGTCATCACAATGAGTGTGTTATAACTAGAGGACTGTCTGTTTTGTTTAGTTATTTTCCCATAGCTTCACAGTTTTCCTCTGCCAACAGTAGGTCACTTTCTGTTTTAAAAATGTAGTATTTTAAAGGCTTTTTTTACTGGTGCTTCAACTTGTTTTCTTTCCTAACTTGTATTTGATACCATGTAAAGTAATACTTTAAGGTCTGTACCTTTTCTCTGACATTTCTGTCTCCTTTTCATATTAGCATTCTTCCTGTGGCAGTTGGAGATTTATGTTAAGTGTGAATCCTTCAGCATGCTGCAGTTGTGTAAACAGTGAAGTAGCTTGATACAGTGGTTGGCTATAAAGCTGAAGAGGTGTAAAAAATATAATTGAATATTATTTTTAACTTAAGTGTTAATACTTCCAACATTAATTCTTGCTGCCAAGAGAGACATCTCAGTTTCTATAGTTATATTTTATTAGTGTAAAATTAGTGTATACACACTATTGTAATTGTGTTCTCATTAACATATAATAAGTACTTAAGTGCGTGAATGGTAGGATTTTCCATTCCCTTTTCTTTCCTCTTTCCTTTTAATGGGCAAAAAAAGTATTTATGAAAACAGAACAGCCATTAATTGTTGAGCAGGAACTCACATGGCATGCAACTTTTAACAATGGAATCTCGTACCTTTTTATTCTTTTTAAGGCAAGGCCATGAGCACTTACATTATTACTTCATTAAGAAGTCCGTAATATCTTAAAATTCTGCTTATTTGACCAGAGGTGGCCAAAGGAGATCATGATACTTTATGATCTCCTCTTAGAAGTCTTATTTTTGATAACACAACTAATTTTTACTGATCTCCTGTGTCTGCACAGGAGCACTTGGATTGTTGAGATAATTGCTCATCTGGGTGTCTATGTGATTATTATACTTTTTTTTTAAATCTTCTTGGCTTATTTTGTCTGCAGGTACTCTTTTCATATTTCTCCTTGACTTGTAACTTGCTTAGTAATAAGCTTATTTCCTTTTTTCCCCTTAACACTCTTACTTTTCTCCTCTCTAGGCCTTCCTTATGTTTTTAGCTTCACTGCTCATTACTCTTTCCTCCCTGGCAACCCATCACCTTATTTCAGCTGCTTCTTCCTTCTTCTCTTCTGCTGGTAATTCATTTTTGCTTGCAAATTCTTAGTTTCTAAAGCATAGATCTCCTGCATAATTGAACTTTTACTATAATTTATTTTTTAATATTTTATCATATATGAATTAAACTGAAATTGTTTATCAAAGTATTAATATTCATTTCCAAAGTAACAGACCTTTTTAAAAAGGAATTTTAACCAAAAATGATTGTTACTCTACTGCCTTTTAACTTAAAGAGACAACCGCAAAAAGTAATATAAATTGTTTTTATATTAGGAATATCAGGTCTTAACAACCTGCTTTTATATTGGAGGATTTCTTTGTTTTTAAGTTCTTGTGGGAAATTGGATGGTGATGCTGTAAAAGCTGACAGGAAAAACTCATCATCCTAATTGTGTCTAAGGGTGGGTTTGATAAATGGTGTTAAGGCTTGTCTTTCTATACTTACCTAAATAAGCAGGCTTTCAAAAAATTTTAGAATCGAACGTGTCTTCAGTCTGGTATTTCTAATAATTCTCACACAAAAGACAAGTAGAATTTTTAATATAAAGCCTTTACCTGATAATATAAAGCCTTCACCTGATCATTTTGTGATCAAAAGGAAATAATTAAGAATGTAAGTACGTATTTTTATGAAAAGTCAACTGAAAACAAGTATAAACAGTTATTTGAGTGTTTATTGTGTTGATTAGATGATGTTGAATTGTGTCTTTTATTGGTTATCCTGAGGTGATTTTTAGGTAAATTGGAAGGATTGGTTTTTTTAATGGTGTGTGCCAAGTCACAGGAAAATGCATTTCAAGGATGCTTTTAATTAGTGGCATTTTCCTAGCTCTGTAACATCCATGAATTTCCTACTTTGTATATTTTAATTTCCTCTTGAGTGTTTTATTACTTGCTTTTCACTGTTAGAAATACAGAAGCTCAGATGTGGGACAATATATTTATGCATTTCCATTTACTAAATTGAAGTTTCATTCCTGTTGTCTCAGCTCCTTTAATATCAGTTAGCAAATTGCATTAGATAGCTTAGGAGCTTTTATTACAAAGTCCCATATGAGTATTGTACTATACAAATAAATTTGTGATAAACTCCAAAACTGCAAGATTGTTGGGTCAAGTTAGGGTGTTGGTGCTGGAGGACGAGTGTATTTGTCCCAGCTTTTTCATGATACACTTGTGCTTTTTAAACTAACCGTGGACACAGGTATGCACTTTTGCAAAAGACTATTTAAGAACTTAGATTATTATATTACAAGAAGTCGATAGATCATCAAAGACTGCAGCATTCTTTCTGTTGATTTTGATGAATTAGATCAGGTTTTTTGTCCAACTTTTTAAGCCCATGAAGTCAATGGGAACGTGGTTTACTGTAGAATTATTCTGTTACTTTCTATGGGAAATACCTAAACATAATTAATTGACTTTTTAATATGAAGCGTACAGTTTTGTTCTCTAATAAAATAACCTGAGTAAATCCTAGGGCTGTTTAATTTATAATGGTGTGCCACATTTTTCTTAACAACTGAATTCAGACCATCATTAAGAAAACTGAAGTTTTAGTACAATTAGAGCAAAACAGAACTTGGACAAGCTGCTTTGTTGGTATGTCCTGTAAAACGCTGCTTAGTAATAATACAGGTAGAGGAGAGCCCCTGGAATGGCATATGCAGCTAACACACAGAAAAATATTCTTCTTGTTCACTTAGAAAACAAATAAAGCAACTAGACAATACTATGAAATGTGATATTCTGTGTAAGAAGAAACTTACTTTCAATTCAAAAACATAAGAAATAGTATGTTTCATTCAGCATTATGTAATACATAAAATCACACATATATAGCTTTACAAACAGTCTTTTTAGTCTATATCGTTCTTTAAAATATTCTGGTAATTTCTGTTTTACAATAAAGATTAGAACAGATGCTGCTTCTTGTATTGGTTTTTCTATCAGACCCTAACGGGAAGAGAATTTGGTCCTGAGTGTTCTGACTCTGTTGCCATAGTATTATACTGAGGCGCTTTTTTTGTTGTTTTATAGCTGTTATTCAAATATTCAAATATTTAAAAAGAACAAAACTAAGCAAGAAAACTTGATTGGGTCATTTATGCTTATTCTATTTCATTCTTCATGTCACGTTCAAGGTTCTTAGGTTTTGGGGGTTTTTTAAATGTGTTTTCATGTAGTATGTTTTTACACCTGTGTTAGATGGAAACGCACCTAATATACAAATTTCAAGTTTATTTGCTATAGTATCCATGTGACTTGCTTTATTACTCAACTCAGAATTTTCCTTTGTTAAAGTAGATACTAGACTTATCACCAGTTGAACTGGACTCTTAAGCTCATTTTGAGATTAGAGTAAGTTTATCTCACTGTTAATTTCATTCTCAGAATTGATTAATATTTGTTTGGGTTTTTTTAAAAAACACTACAAAAATTGTAATGGAACCATGAAGTCTTGTATGGCTTTACTCATTATAATGTTTACTTAGGTCTTTCTCCAAAATGTATCACAGCAATGGGAAACTCCCACTTGAATGGATTTTGGATTGAATCTCTCATGTATGGAAATAGTTGACCTATACATACACATATATGTGTTGGTTTGAGAAAGACTCAACAATTTTTATGTATTTTCTTTGCATTTTTAAATGGGGATAAAGAGTGATTGATTGACGAATTTCTGACTGTTCTATAAAATGCACCTTAGTACCTACTTTGTGACCTGCATTGGTTATTTAGAGAATTGTTGTGTAAGAGGTTTCATTTGACATTGGCAAATTTAGGTACCACACTTTGAGGATATTGTAATCTACACTTGTTACAAATAACACCTATGAACAGGTGAGAAAAGTAAACAAAACAAATGCAGCAATTTTTTTTCCTATTCTTTATTGCATGTGGTAGGCAGCATTTAAAGCTTAGTTGCAAAATCAGTCATTTGCTTAAATATTTACAGATCATGCTGAAGTCAGCTTCTTGTCTTCTAAATGCTAGCATAAATACTCTAAAATGGGGAAAAAGTCTAAATGTTAAATGAAGTGCAATACCATTGACTGCTGTGACAATGCTAAATTAGTCTTAAGGATAATTGTTCAGTTGTTTTTTAAAAAATGGGAACATTGCATTATTTAATTTGGGTGTAAGTTATTAAAGCGTGAGTTAAATATATGAAAAGTCATGTTGGTGGGGCTTTTCTTTTTCAGAATAACAAAGACTTTAATAGATCAGGATGGTCCCAGTTGGAGGGAGAAACTGCCACCAATGTCAGTTGTCCCAGTTGCTGCTAAGCTACACAGGTGGGATGGAGGAGACTTTACTTCAGAGAATAAGCCAAGAAGTACTACAGATACCAACAGAGAAGAACAGTTGCAGATGAATTGTATGTATAGCTAATGCAAATATACATACAAAAAAGAAAATAATTTTAATTGAAAAATTGAATACGATTTAGTAATGTCAAAGAAACTGCTTTAGAAAATATTTATCAGAGATCTTTGTGAAAAGCCAAGTTAGATGATGGACATGTACATGATTGGGTTTGATGTGTTTTATGGAGCCACAGTTATGATAAATTTTTTTAAGCCAAATGATGTAGTTTGCAGCATAATTTCTGAAGTTATATAAAATAAAAGAAAGTATAGCAGAAGTTCTCATCAGCAGTATATTGAGTCCTATCACAAGTATCAGTGGTTTTCCTGACATCATACTACAGTTATAACACAGTTTTCCCCAAAAAAAACACCACCCAAACAAACACCCAACCTCAGTAACATAATCAGCTGCATAATCTGTAGCTGTCACTTAATTGTTCGTGAAAGCATTACTCAGCTCTTCAGAATAGAAGGGGTAGGGTAGACTTCTAGGTGGCCAGTAGTTAGTGAAATGGGCTATGGAAGAACACTTCTGATTTTGTAAATTTTTTTTTACAATGGATTCTAACTTTGACAGCTGCCATTTAGTAGTCACCTTTCAAAGATGTTAGTTCTGGATTTATTTACACAGTACTTTATTTATCCTGATTTTTTTCCCCGTCATTACAGTTTCTATTTTTCTCCTCCAGTAAATCAGGTGAAAGAACCTTTCTGATTCAGTTTTTATTGACATTTTTTGCAAAGGCCTTAACTGTGTCATTTTTTACTCTTACTTGACTATTCACCTTTGAGTTTATTTCAATATAAAGAAAAGTAGTGCTGAAGATAATCTCCCCTTGATTTTAAGGGGAGGCTGCAAAGCATAACTGAGTTGCTGGCCGAATATGTAGTAGTGATAGGGTTATCTGTCCATAATGCATGACTGCAATAATGCATGTCCTCAAATAATCTGCATTCTTGGGCATTACAGATTTAGTGACTTCTAAAATGATCTTTCCGATAGCATTGAATTTATTTGTACCTGATGTAAAACAACAGACAACTTAAAAATACATGTGTTTATGATAATTGGACATTTTTCTCGAGAATAAGACATAGTTCTAGAAACTTGTAATAGCGTGGTTTATATGCGATTTAAATAGTAGTGCATACTAAACTTCAGTAATGCTACAGAAATTTTTTTTTCATTTAAGAACATTAGGCATGTTGATGTATAATTTAAGCTCAATTAAAGTGATAAAAATTTTACTCTACTTTTTAAAATGTCCAGTGACAAGTATTTTCATTACAGTTGTCAGTACATGTCATTACTGATTCATCACTCTTAAGGATTGAGCAGCAATTGGGTTTAACTTTTTTTTTTTTAAAATTAAGTAGAAAACTGATACGTGGCACAATTGTTGCTATTAAACATAAATCCTTAGCTTGAAAAGTGCTTTTTGTTGTACTGATTATACTCCAGGCTTTTTCTGTTATTAAAGAATACAACTTGTTGGATTTTTATTTCAATGTATAACCAACCTATTTAAACCTTCTAAGTAGTAAATTTGGATCTATATAACCTTGTGTAACTTTGTTAAAAGAGAGAATTTGAAGATCATCGTAGTGAAAAGTACACAGATAAGCGGCTCCGGAGAACACTAGTGATCATGTTTAGCCTATTATGAAAGTTAACAAAAGCGGCTATCACTGTCTTCATGAAGTGTGCTCTGCGGCATTTTGATGCAAAACACGTCTTCATCTATTTCAAATAGAGTGGGCTTTGGTTAGGCTTTGTTTTTAGAAATATTAAATGAAGACTGTGTAACCATTTTCTTCACTGAAGGCTGACTCTCAGGTTGTGGTTGCCTTCTCAGGCCTGTACTAAATCAGTGGCACCTGACACCACTGATAGCTGGTGCCAGAAGCGTGCCAGCAATCATGTTCAGTCAGTAGTTAAACCTTGGCTGGCACTTTTTTGCAACAATTGTCTGTTGTTTTTTGTGTCTTACAACTTGAGTTCTCATTTAGTTATGTTTCTTGCGTAAGTCTGTTCTGTTTCACGTCGTTACTTAATTTTTTCCCCAAGTCCATGTGTAGTTTTCTGGCATAGGAGACTGCCATGTTTTTATAAAAGAACTCACTGAGTTTAATTATTGATTAAAGTTATCTGGCTATATACAGTGTTTAAAACCTGAAGCTTGGCAAGGGGCTCATATTCTTTAGCAAGGTACAAAAAGTAGATTTTTCCGTTATGGTCGGCTTAGAGCTATGTTACTAATTATTGTTTGCTTACAGCAGAGGCATGAAACTGCAGTCAGGATTTCCACTACAAACACAGCTAAAAATTGTAGTCTAACTCAGAAGCATATGCAACAAATTATGTGGAGTTTAGAAGGAAAGACAATTATGGAAGAACACAATATTAATTAAAAAAAGTAGTTAGGTGTTTTCAGGTTCCTCGAAGCATCTTTTATAAATAGTTATTAACAGAATATTACTGATGTGTCACTAACCCCTACTTGATTGTTTGTCAATGATTTGTTTGTCATTGTCAGTTTATCATAGTAATTGTGATAGATAGTTGCTTGCAGAAAGAATACTAGATCAAATTATGGCTGCCTTGGTGTGACAGTGGAGATCTAGAAGGGCCTTTAATCCTGCTGATTAAATCTCCACCATTGTAAATAAAACTGGTATCTCAGTGGAGATATGTAGTCCCTCTCTATCACACAGAAGGGGTAGACAGAAGGACGTCAAAGTGTAGCGCTGTCTGTTGCATTCCCATTATTTTCAGCAAAATAGTTACCCTGGTGCATGGGGAAGTATGTGTTGTGCCAAATGTATATATGGTACTTTATGCCTTTCTTAGAGCAGCAGGGAGATCTGGGACAGAAATGGCAATGTGCAGACCGATAAAAGTACCTCAGATCCCAGGCATTTATTCTTAGTCTGGGTAGATTATTCAGCTATCCTTAATGAACTGATCTTCTTATGTAACTCTGTGATCCTTTTGTAACGTAGGTGAGAAAGCTGAGGAGAAGTTCAAGACATTAAAAAATGAAGGGAATGATTTTGTAAAAGAGGGTAAATATGAAGAAGCTGTAAATAAATACAGCGAATGCATGAAGTTAAATACCAAGGAATGTACGATCTACACTAACAGGTAAAGATCCAAAATCTAATCCGACTTTGTGGGATAACAATAGTTACATTTTCTCACTGCAAATACAGATTTTTGCATCACTTCAATTACTCTTGTAAAACAAGGATTTTTTTTTCTTCCACTTGATGAGTGTTTTTAATAACAAAATTGTTTTTTTGTTAAACTGCATTATTTTCCAAGGGGAGCAAGTATTAATGTCACTGATATATATCTTAAAATCTTTATATAAATAGAGTAAGCAATGGTAAAAGTTATAATTAGCATAGCATTTTGCAGCATTTTTTGAGAATACTGGTATGATTTTAGTTAAAAACTAATGTGCAGTAGCAGTATCTCACATATGAAGAGTAATAGTTCGGAGAAAATGTACGTTTTGAGAAAATAAAAGTAGGAACAGGGTCATACAACAGCATTATTTTAAAGGTTGACCTAATTCTGCAGCATAATTCTTTATGCTGTAATCTTATCAGCTTTCACAAACTAAGAAGGATTTGATTAGGCCGGTACTTGAATAGGAGACTTCCAAGTAATAATTAGGTGCAGAAAGCAGTATTGCTTATTTAATCTAGAGCACTTTTTTACCCAGAATGGCTGTATAAAATCCATACTATATCCATTACTATACTATCAAATTATACTAACATAGGCTCTACTTTTAAAATACTTACATATCTGCCTAACTTCAAGCATTAGTCATACTTGAATTTTGACTTTTATTGCAAGAGTTGGCCCTCCCTAAATCCATCCAGTGATGTTATTAATACTGGGTTTGGTGTACTTTAAAAAATACCACATTGAGACTGAATTGTATGAAGTACTGTAATTAGCATTTATGAGTCAGATACTGTTGGCACTACAGCACTGTAGAATTTACTTATATTGCAGTGTATTCTGTTTTTCTGTGTTAGAGCTCTCTGTTACTTGAAACTGTATAAATATGAAGAGGCTAAGCAGGATTGTGATCATGTTCTTCAGATAGAAGATTCTAATATTAAAGCTTTTTATAGAAGAGCACTAGCGTACAAAGGATTACAGGTGAGGAAAAAGAACATGGCAGGTATTCTTAAGCACTTCTAAACTTGCTTATCCTCTTCAAAGGCAATCAGGTAGTTGCAGTCGATGGGTGAATACAAAGAAAGTATGCAGTGCTGATGATTTATTACTTTGCAGAGCGTTAGGCATGCATAAAAAATTACATAAATATTTTTGCAACAGAAAAACCTGCATGTTGATTTGTAATCATTTGAGAAAATACAAGAATATTGGAATAAATGACGTTTGACTGGAGATTGGTTAAGCAAGTTTCAACTCTGTTCTAATGTTCTAAAATATTCTTCTGGGTATCCCAGTCTGTTTTTTTTCTGTCAGGGTGTTTACTATATCTTTGCTGATGACAAATGGATTCTCTCCAAGTCTGTCTTCATCTGTGCAAACTAAAATCTCAAGGTGTTTTTTGGCATCTGCTCATATTTGAGTGCTTGTCATGTTAAACCAGGGTTTTAATTGTCTTCGTTCTCGCTCTCTTCCTTCTCCAAACATGTTCCAAACCTTTGTCAGTAATCCACTTTCTCACTCTGTGGACAGTGTGGGGACTCAACCTTTTCCTTTCCATCTACACAGTGGTGGTGTTGTCTGTACTGTGCTCATCTTACACACAGGTTTTTTTGTGTATCCTTTTACCTTATCCTCATAAATGCAGACTTATGTTGCTCATATTCATCCTGAACGTGACTGCAAATCTTGTGTTCCATCACTTGAACCGTGTCATTCCTTTTGTCCATCCCTCTGCTGGTTCCCCTTCTTCAGTGATGTTAATTAGCCTCTACATTTCATAATTCTTTCACAGCAATCCTTACCTTACCTGTCAGCTCTTACCTGGTATTGAATGATTAGCTTCTCACTTCTGTTGGCACATGGTGGCAGCTATCATCATCTACTTCGTATTAAATTTTACAAGTGTCTTTAAACAAGCGTCTTAAGTGCTTTCTCCTGTGTTGCTCTTTGTAACTGGAGGTGATCACTCCAAGCGTCCACCAAGTTCCAGCAGTGTCTGTCAAATGAACACTTACCTCAGAGGTCCATTATGTTTGATGCCTTAACAAAAAAATTACCTGATTGTCTCTCAGCTTACAGATCACCTGAGGACAACCTGTTTGTGCGTAGCAGTATACTAGCCTGTTCTCATCCTGTGTTATAATTCCAAATGCAAGTCTTAGGAATCGTGGGATCTTGTTTTTTATGATAAATTTTTTCCTCTTACAGTAGCTATGAAATTTTGAAAGTTACCTTTGATTAATTTTCAGAGAAGATGAAAAGTCTTAATTTTGTGTAAAATCTTTTCTGTAACTGTACCAAGCTACCTGGTATTAATCATCTGTAAACTTATGGTGTTGAAGTTGATAAAAAATTAGTATAAATATGAGCAAAGGTATATAGTGATTCTACCAGTCAAAAAAAGGGAATTACACACTAGTGAAGAATGTCAAGAATTGGTGAAATAACTTCTGCTTTTTTGAATATCCTAGGAAAAGATTACTATTTTTGTATTATTGAAGACATAACCTGAAACATACTGTTCATGGATTCCTTCAGAATAATCTGAGCTGGAGACTCCCAAAATGTTTTGTTGTGGTTGGATTTAATGCCTTAATTATTGCTAATTCCAGGGATGTGAGTGATTCGTAAAACCAGAGGAAGCAACAGAAATGATTTGAGGTTGACAAATGACTCTCTAATGAAGGATTTTAAGAGCTAAAAGCATGTAGTTTGGCAAAGACCTAACGGCGCTGGGAAGTGTTATTTGTATATAAATACCCAGACATTTAACCTCAAAAGCTGCAGAGGAATTTAATGTAGTAAATGAGGGGGTTTTATAGATTTATTGAGATGTAGTTAAGAGAAGATCAGGAAAAAATCATGCTGGTGTGTTGAATTAGGCCTATAACTACGACACAGGACCCTGGACCACATCTTCTACAGCCGATAGTCCAGTCTCTTGCTTTGGGTACAATCATATTGCATGATTTTTGTTGAGAAGTCTGGCAGACTGCAGTTTTAAATCCAGGATGGCTGGTTGTTTGCTGTCCCTTGTGATCATTTTCAGAAGTCTGTTTCAGAATCTCATTTCTCTGTAGTCGTGAATCTTCACATCCGTAATTCAAATGGTTTATCTTAATTAGTAGTGTTTTTTGATGAAAGCAATATCTGCCTCCTTTCTGCATTCATTTGCTAAGGCTAAGTAATCCTAGTTCTCTTACTTTTCTTTCATGATACAGCGGACTTCAGTTCACTTACAGACTCACTGCAATGTCTCTGCACCTTGAATACTGGTCATCGGTATTGAACAAAATATTCCATGTAGGAAAGAGAATATGAGTGACTTGTACACTAGTGCTTTTATTACAGTTGATACGCTGAGGAAATACCTCAGCTGGTACATGAGGATTTTTTTCATGATAATATGAATGACTTATAGTAACCTTATGATACTGCTTGGGAACAGAAGAAATACTAGGTCCCTCACACAAAGAAATTATGTTGATCTTTTACTGTCTGCATAGTCTTTTACTGTTTACTGTTACATTTCATCCTTATTTTTGATACTCCAGCCCTTAAAGTGTCTTGATTTTTCTATGTGATATTCCAGTCTTCTTCAGAATTGGTTCTATTAACTTTGTCTCTCCAGAAAATTTAGTCTAAAAAATCATAATTCCTAATGTCAAAATTTGAAATAAAAACATTAAACAAATGACAAGACTGATGATTGAGGAACTGTGTCCTAATGCCACTCTGTCACTGTGTTTGTCCTTCTAATCCTGTTGTTTATCCCAGAGTTCATAATGTAATCCCAATCTGCTCAAGTATAACCAGAAATTTCCCTTCTTAAACTGTAAGAGATGGTCTATTGGATTGAAGCCCAGGAAGATTAGGTATATTTTTAATCTAAGCTTAATTTAACTCTCCTTTATTGGTAAAGCAAGTACGCAAACTGTTGATGGACTCACATTATATTAATCTCGAGGAAGTGTTACACTGTAAGCAATTATGCTTAAAAGCAGCAATCTTCAATAATCTATTCTCTGATACAGGGAATATGTTTCTTAGAATAAACGATTTCATATTACATACTCAATACGGAAGTATTTAGTTGCAAAATACTAACTCAAACTCATTCTCAGTTTCCTTTTTTCCCTCTAATGAAATTACGCTGTCTGTATTTAGATTTTTTTTTTTTCCTACTTAATGTCAAGATGCTAGCATTTTTTTTTTTCTTAATTGTAAAGGACAGTATGGTAGTTCTAATTTATTTTTCTAGTGGTGTGTTTATGAAAAAAAAATCTTTCCCTTCTACTTTCAGAATTATCAGGCCAGCGTTGACGATTTCAACAGAGTACTTCTAATAGATCCAAATGTTCTTGAAGCAAAGAAGGAACTAGAGGAGGTAACCCAGCTGCTTAACCTTGACAGCAGTGCTGTGGTTGGTGGTCAGCAAAAGCAAAGGAAGAAAATAACCATACAAGAGGTATACCTGTTCATTTTTAACAGCAGGCAGTACAGAAGCCACACATTTGAAGAGATAATATTAATGCTTTTGTTTTGCAGTTGTTAGCTCTGCACTTTTTTGGCGGGGGGTTGTGTTTTTCATGTTATTTTGAGGGCATATTGGAGGATGCTTGCATATGATGTGTTTGGCGTCCATTACATTCTGTAGTAAAGCTTGGACTGCTATGAAGTGTATTCAGAACCACAGCAGAAGTAGAAAAAAGCATATTTAGGTGGCACTAAACTTGAGGATATGCTCCTTGTAAACAAAAACTGTTTTACAGAATACAGCTGTCAAATAGCAGTTTTGCTTTTAAAGTCTGTGCTACTTGGGAAGCCTCTGGGGCTGTGCTGGCAAAGGTTCATTGTCAGCAGGCGTGCTGGCTGTTCTTGTGCTAGTAGTAAAGTTACTGGTCTGAAGAATGAAATCTTGCCTTAAAGAGCAAGAGTATGGATAAAATATCTGTAAGATCTTATAAAAGAACTACATGATGTAATGTTATGTCCTGGATCAAAATGTTAGCCTTGCTGAATTCTGGGTAGAATTAGGCAATGAAAGGATTTTCTCAGTCATCTGATATTTTTGGATTGTAACTTTGCTGGTCCTTTAAGAATGGGGGAGGGGTTCCCTTTTCAGTTTAAAATATATCATTAAAATACATAGTTTACCAGTCTGTATAGTATTATACAGTGATACCGTAATTTGATCATGTAATTTCAAAATGGTGGTATAATGGAAACTGCAGTTACTAATATAGAAAAAACTTGTTTTGTTTAAACACTTCACATTGTCACGAGTTCAGGGGATTTTATGTAACTGGCGTAGGCCGGGTATAGTTAGTTAAGCTCTGAACTGTGACAAACAAAGGGACCTGGAAAGTGTTTAGAGGAGTTTGGGAAGTGACTGCGTTGTTCAGAGACCACCTAACCACATTACTGGCAGTGGTAATTTTTCCAGGAGTGGGGCAGGAAGCATTTATGTTTGCCATCATAATTACAGCTGCCCCCTTAGAGAGCCTTCTCTGTCTTATCTGCTGTAGTACAAGGTAGTTCTATGAAAACAGACTGCAAATAAAAGTAAGGAAAATTTGATTAGAAACTAGGATTTATCATTATTATTCCATTTTAATCAAGCTGTAATTATATAGAAGACAGTCAAGATTTCTCTCTTGATACTAAGGGTTGTTGAAAAAATAGAACAAATGTCTATAAGCCCAATGCAGTATTTTCCAAAAATGACTAGCTAATAATCTAGCTCCCAGCACAACACTGTACTATGCAATACTGTATCTTCAGACTTTCCGAAAAACTTGGCAACCGTTGAAGAGACCCCGTTCAATGAGTTTTAGTCAGTCTGTACTAATTCCACAACTCTTGATAGCTTGAAATGGATTTTAGCAAATGTAGTTGAACCCATGGTTAATTTTCTAGCAACTGATTCATGAAACTCAATACAGGCTGCAAACTCTGGAGAAGTTAAGTGAGTATTCAGGCCGTTAGACTATGCTGAGCTTTCTCCTTCCACAGCGAGATTCCAAACAGCAACCTGATATAGCTGCCGTATATTTGTACTATTCTGAAGGCACGGCAGTGAAATGAAACATGGCTTCAGTTCTGCTTGTCTTCTGCAACTTCACATTTAATATATGTAATACAGTCCTCCTTAGCTTTCTCCCAGTGGTCTTCAGTTGTCTTTCTTTAGTGGAGTGCCAAGCAGTGAAAGGAGATGTGAAATACGCACTTTTGACTATAAACCTTTAAAGATGAATTAGAGAGGTACTATTCTGGGGGGAAGTAGGACATAAAAGAACATAGGTGCCTTTCTTTTATGAAGAGTAAAATGCTAACTTTAATGTAATGACATTGATGGATATATGCATGCAGTTTATGAAGCTTCAGGTTATCTATATGTCCACATTAAAATGATTTGTTGCCATTTTCTTTGTGAAGGTGACTGAATCTGATGAGCAGGAAGAGAGACAGTTTGTTACATCAGAAGATGCTGTGACTGATCATGTTACTATTAAGGAACCAGTTCAAGAGTGTGTGCCACTGAAGACCTCTGAGAAACTGCACATTTCTGAACCATCTAATGCTTATGACTTTGGTCAGATTATAAACGCAGTGAATATCAATAAGGATAAAGCTGCTTGTGCAGATCTTTTAACAATTACTGATCCAAAAAAATTGCCAATGCTGCTAAGTAACAAACTTGAAGGAGAAATCCTTTTGATCTTTATCCAGTCATTGGAATATTATGTACTTGGAAAAGATCCTGGCCTTGTATATCAGCACCTTTTCTACTTGAGCAAAGCAGAAAGATTTAAGGTAAGAACCTAGATTCAATGCATACTAAAGTTGAACAGAAACTTAAATGAAATTTTCATATCTTACAAAATCAATGTATTATTTCTTTTTATCTCTGTCAGATACTATGATTTTAAATCGACCTGTGCTGATTATAAAATAATCTGTTTTTTCAGGTGGTGCTGGCCCTTCTTAGCAAAAACGAAAAAGAACAGTTTTTTTTTACTTTCAGAAAACCAGAATCATCAGTACTCTTTGGAAGATCTTGAGAGCCTTAAAAAGGTTTATGAGCTTTAAGAAGTTAAAATTTATTAGTTGCATGCATATAGTTCATGTTTATAAGATGGATGTATGAACTCTGCAGACTTGCATGGGTTGAAGTGGGTCTTTACCCGGACTGTTTGAATTCTATTTTGTTTTGACAGCATATGCACATTTAAAACTCGCTGCTCTTTTTTTCTTGTAGTTGTATACATTTTTAATCTCTAGAATTTAATGCATGTCTTTGTGGTTAGTAACAGAGTTCATGTATTTGGCATACTGATTTTATTTAGACTGTGTTAATTATATATATAATTTTTTTTACATTATATATATATAATGGTGGTACGATAGATAATACACTTAGTCATCACTTACATCATTCTGTGAGTTGTATGTTCTTGTGATAAAGAAGTGTCTTCGAGATAAACGGGTCAGTTAGCAATAGCTTTGCTAAAATGAGTTTACAAAAAGTATTAACATTTTTCGGATAAACTACTACAGGCCATCTGTTTCTTCACTATCCCTGGTCTATACAAAACAGATTTAAATATTTCTGGTGCAGTACAGCTTAGCAGCAAAGGCGAATGAATAATATATTACCTTGTCATGGAACACTTTGAATCAAAATAATTAATTATTAAATAAATGGGTATGTTTTTAAAATGATTAACAAGTGAGTAATTTTTAGTGCACAGAGAATTATTTTTTTTCTATGCGTGTGGAAGGACTGCTGGTTTGCATGGCTTCTGAAGTGACAGCGGTAAACAGGACAACAAGTGGCTGCACTTAGCAATAAAAATATTTAACTCTTGAGTTTTGTAATCAGATTATTTAAAACACCAGCTCTTTCTGTTTACAGACATACTTATAAAGCAAAAAGTAAAACCATTTTGTGGACCAGTATGTTTTTGTTTTTGTTTTTTTTTAATTTCAGGCAATACTTATGATTTGATTCTGACAAAGTTCCTTTTTTCAAGATGAAGCTTTTAAATTTTTCAGATACCCCAATGCCTTCTTTGCACATGTGATATAAATGTATATCAAACTCACTAGCACGGCAGAAATACCATTAAGAATGTTGTTCTAATGAAATTTTTTCTCAGGTGTATATTAATTAAAAAAATAAAGTTTTTTTCTTGAAAAGTACAATTATGGATTCTCTTTTCTGGTTCTGCACTCTTTAGGCTTACAATTCTGATATGTGGATTATGAGTTTTGTCTTGAAGTAGAGTGCCAAGAATGAGGCTTTTAATTCCTAAAGCACTGTTAGTACAACTGATGTTTTTTGGTTTTAAATGTTCTCTTTTTATGAGATTGTCATGTGGTCAAGAGAGATCTATCGCTCATCTAATCTATGCATGACCAATTGTACTTAACCAACAAAGTGCCAATTTCATTCTTCAGTCGTGGTGGCAAGGTATTCACATTCACTAATTTCTGTGTTAGCGATTTCAATCTTTTTATTTTTTCCACTGCAGTTTAGTATGTTCAGAGAAGATTTGTTGTATGTGTGCAACTTACTGACATAGTTTAGAAAACTTAATTGATTTTCATTTAATAGAGTTCAGAGTGTTTTAATAACAATAAGTAGTAAGTTGGAGGATTGTATTAATAATACACAGCTTAGGAAAAACTTCTTTTGCTAAAAGAAAGCATAAAAACCAGCTGTGTAATTTTAAAATAGTCTTAGTTGCTTGAAAACTGTAGTTGAGTAAGAGCCAATGTCAAAAGCCACCACATCACAAAAGCTCTTGATGAAGTTAAAACTTCCGCTGTGACACCAAAACCCCCAAGTATGAAGAGCTCTTTAGATATCTTTTAAGCAGCAGTCTTGACTGCTAAAGTTCATATCTCATTTGTATAGCTCGTTTTGACAATGAAGACAAAAATCAGAATCTTTGCAGCAGTAAATCATCATAAAAATATGATTTAGTAAATTTAGGAGACAGGTTATTAAAAAGACAAAAAGGCTTTAAAAGACGAGATTTTTAAATGTAGCGTTCTTGACAAGTCATTTATCCATGAGGAAATAGACAAATGGGTTTTCATAGATGGGTGTACAGTATCACAGTTAATTTTAGGACAGTTTTAATCAATCCCTAGCAATTAAACTAGAAGCCTAAAAGCAGTCCAGAGAAAAGTAGTCCAGTAGTCTAGGAAGATACCTTTTCTGATAATACCTTCCAGCTTGAATGTCAGCTGAAACAGGTTAACTCAGTTTGAGGTAAAAATGACGGAGATCAGCAGCTCAGGAAGCTAAAATTACCCCTTGTTAAGAAGTTCTAAATGGAGAACTGCAGCAATGTTTGCAAGTGAACCCGTTACCCAGCTGGCAGGAGGGAGCTGTCACCAGCTGCAGTCAGCTTTGTACCCACACGTGTCAGATGCAGTCAGCAAGAGATTAAATAACAAACATCACCTGATTTGAAAAATCAGCACTTTGCCACAAAGGCACCCATCTTCTAAAGCAAAGAGCTGATCATGAGTACGTCTGTCTTCAATAGACAGCAATAAGAGGGCAGGTTTTGCTAGAAAGCTTAAACTCAGCCCTAATGAAATACTCGGCAAAAAATGGATTTTCACTTTCTGAGTGTGATTGGGTCTGATCTCTTCAGGCAGACCATAAGCTTTGGCTGGTTGAGTATTTAGACACCCCCTCCAGCCTACCCCAAACACTCCTTGGTAGATGGCCCCTCTAGCATAGCTTGACACTGATCAACAATATTCCAGAATATTCCCAGGCATTGTCACATACCAGGAGCTGCTTTTTAAAATTTTTTTAAGCTCATCCTAGTCCATGATCCCAAAGGAAGGCGGCACTTTCTTGAAGTCCTGCGTTCCTGAAACTGCCACCAGGCTGGGTGTACGCTCTCAGCAGATCCTGGGCATCAGACCCACCTCCCTCGCACTCAGCAAGCAGGTGTTCGAGGGCCCCACTCTGAGAGGTGTCCACATTTCTTCCCATGCCTTATTACTAGCCTCACTCCCAAACGAACCTCTGAAGCAGAAACCATTGAACAGTAATTGATGAAGTAATTGCGATCACCCTGCACTATGGGTAGCAGGCCCTAAAGTTTTAGGCACTAAATCTTTGCTACATCTACTCTTTAAGTATCAGGTCAGCTGTATTATCTGCAAAACCTTGTCTGTCTGATGCCGCTCACAACCATCTCAACTATGAACTTTTGGCCTTAGCTTCCAACATTAATAAACAATTTTTTTTAAAGTACAAGGGAATAAAGAAGCAGCTGAAACATTTATTGTCTTAATAGTTGAAAGATGTCAAATAGACAAATACATATTTTTTCTTCAAAAAAAAAAGTTAGCAACTCTGAAATGTAAGAAAAGTGGTCCATGAAGCTGAGCAAAAAAAAAAAAAAAAAAGTTCAGCAACACGTGAGCCGTTTGCCTGTAACGCCACCAGCGGGCGAGCAGTACTTGCAGTCATTTTGGTGATGTCTCTGCCTCCTTCAGATCTGATTGAGACTGGCTGCTTAGTTCAGACAATATTTGAGGGGGGCTGACTGACAGGCAGGACAATTTCTAAAGACATAGAACTTACAAAAATCAAACCAAACAACTTGTTAGGGGCTGGACTGCTGATTTGGCCTAGACAGCTCAAGCCAAGGCCACCAGGCTTCAAAACCTGCCCCTCTTGGGGCAGCATCAGCCTACTGAAAGTTTGAGGGCCGTATGGAAGGAACTACTTCCAGGGGCTGCGTTCCTAAAGCCACTCAGCTGACAGGTAAGGGCTCCCTAAATGTGTCCCTCTTGGTTCGATCTGGGAGCCTCTTCAGGGCCAGAGAGAGAAAGCTCTGCAGCGCTAAATAGTTGCAGCATAATAGCTGTTTTATTGGTATTGGGTTTTGCATCCTTTTAAGAACAAAGCATTCTTCTCTCTCTTTAGACGAGCGCAAGAGAATCTTGAATTTGGTACTTGGTTTTGTGGCAGGGAGACCCAAATCACAGCTCAGTGTTACTTTCTTGGGCTTGTCACTCACCTCCTCAGCATTAAGATCCACCTTTTTTATAAAACCAACCAACCAAAACCAACATCACTACAAAAACCTGCTTCAGGAGGAGAACATTGGTTATTCAGGTGACGGGAACAGAGAAGTGAAGTGTGGTCCCACCACAGCAAATGCCAGAGTGAAAATAGCCTATATTTTCCTAGACGAGCTAACCAGGCTTGCAGTGACCAATTTGATCATGGATACAAATCCCTGTTTTTAACAGAAGCAGAGAGTTAGTGATTTTCTTTCTGTAACTACTGAAAGGAAGGCTAGTGGTTAGGGAACAGAACATGCCAGGGAACAGTGTTTTGCACTACTGTTATTTTGCACCCCTCAAGATATTTTCGAAATTTTTAGAGAAGCCATTGCCAGGTAGAATGGATGCTGTCGCCCAAAGAGCAATGGTAAGAGGTGCTAAAAAAGATGAGTGTCATCACAGCATGGTTGCTTCTCTGGCCAAAAAACTGATTTACTGCAGAGCCTCACCACCACTCTTTTTACTCTTTCTTGTGTGGTGGTGCAGGCAGCAGAAGCTGGTGAGAGCCCAGTTACTGGCAAACCACACTCTTTGCTCTTATGTGGGAAGTTTTTTTCCACTCATTATAGACTAGAATCATAGAATTATTCAGGTTGGAAAAGACCTCTTAAGATCATCGAGTCCAACCATCAACCCAACACCACCATGCCCACTAAACCATGTCCCTAAGTGCCTCATCTACACGTCTTTTAAATACTTCCAGGGATGGTGACTCCACCACTTCCCTGGGCAGCCTGTTCCAAGGCCTGACCACTCTTTCAGTAAAGAAGTTTTTCCTAATGTCCAGTCTAAACCTCCCTTGGCGCAACTTGAGGCCATTTCCTCTCGTCCTATCGCTTGTTACTTGGGAGAAGAGACCAACCCCCACCTCGCTACAACCTCCTTTCAGGTAGTTGTAGAGCGCGATGAGGTCTCCCCTCAGCCTCCTCTTCTCCAGACTAAACAGTCCCAGTTCCCTCAGCCGCTCCTCATAAGACTTGTTC